TCGGCGGGGGCACTTGCCTGTGCTGTTCATACTGGAAGGTGGAAACATGACTTAGGGGAGCAATTTGGCCTCCAAGTACAAATTCAGTCTGAGGCAGGCTGCAAAACAGATGCTCTGCAGCAGTCTAGGAGCTCTGCTTGTACATCTGTTCTGTCCTCATGCCCCTCCACCCTTTGACCACAAAGTTGCAGCATGGCCAGGGAGGGGGCACCAGCAGCGCAGGCTGGAGGGTGGTGGAAGCTGCAGTGCCTGTGGAGAGGGGTCTGGCTCCTCCAGAGCTTTCCCTGTGCAGCTCCGTGTGCAAAGTGGGAGCTTCCCAGCAGGAGATGAGAGGCAAAATCTTGTATCTCGGTAGCCATATGTATGTGTATATGGGAGAAAAGAAGTAGGTGCGAGAGTCCTTGCTTGGGAAAAGCAGTGTTTGGATTTTCAGACGTGACAGCTGCTAGCTGGCTGTTTTCCAGCCTTCTATGTTGGACAATAAACAGTGCAGCATATGACATAAATTCAAAGTTACAAGGTGCAAAAAAAGTCTGGTTTTGTGTTCTGAAGAAATAGTTGTTGAGAGTACGGACGCTGATACCAGGGTCTCCTGTTATTGTTACCCAGCAAGCCTGGAATCCTCTGATATGTAAATGAAGGTGAATAATTGACCCAAGGTGACTTTAGATGTAAAAGTAAAAAGCTTTTGGTATTACCTTTGAAATAAAATTAGCTTTTTTCCAAATAATTGAATTTTACTATTGATTTCTGTGTTACAAGCTCTCAGTTGGACATTAACCTTTTTCTAAGGGTTGGTTTGTTTGGGGGTTGTTTGTCTGTTGAAATCTCTTTAAGGTAAATTCAAATTTCAAATGCAATACTTGACTGATGTATTCCAGGAATTCCTCTCTTGGTGCCAGTTTTGGTGGCTCAGGCAAAAACTGTTGCTGTGCTGGAGAGATGTGGTGATGGTATCATTAGCCAGGGGCTCACTTGCATCCCCTTGGGTCTCACTGTACTTTGGTTTTGGGAGTCTGGGCCACAGGTGCCCTGGAGGAGGCAATGAAAGGAGGAGCAGAGAAGAGGTGCTGCTCCCTCACCAGGTCCTGGTCAGCTCCTTTCTTGCCTGGCTGTGAGCACGCCGGCCCCCACCGCTGCAGTAGTGCTGGGAGGCACGGGCTGAATGCCAGTAGCTCTTATGAAGCATCATCTGAGATGCCTGTGCATGTGCCAAGGCTGGCCACATGTATAACTTGTGGGTTTCAGTGATGCAGGGGGCAAAACTGCTCCCTTTAGAAAAACCTTGGGAGGCTGTGATGAGTGTTGATGTACTTATTTCTTGCTTCTTACTGTCATTAGCTCATATTTTGAAGCTGGCTCTCAAGCCTGGGACTCTTTGTTGCTTCGTAGGTGGTCACTCAGCATTGGAGTTTATCACTAAATCCCCATGCACGTGACCTCCACTGAGCTATTAGGGCATGGTGTGTGCAAACTATAGCTACTTGCTCCACTACTTTGTTGAAGTAAACTAGGTGAAATCTTTGGGGGGAGGGTGTCGCAGTGACAAATGTAAACTTGATTACTACTTGGGGATGCTTCAGCACTTTTTGCTAGAAACTATGTGATGCTAGTTTGGGATGGTCTGGTGCTCTGTATGCATTTCCCACACCTTTTATTACAGTACAGATGGCTTCTAGGATATATGGTGTTTCATGGGCTACAGAAGCTATAAGAAGGCTGGATTTGCACTGCTCTAAAATTTAGCATGGCTTACATCCTGACTTGCAGAACAGTCTTCCCCAGCACTGAGAAATCAACTGCTGATGTTCGTTTTCTGCCCTACAGTGGCCTCCTGGACACTGTGTATATCTGAATTTTCCCAGAGGAGGGTAATGTTGTCCTGAAAGGTTGGGGGTTGTTTTGCTAATCTGTCTCTCATCACTTCTGCATACGCTGATCTGGTTCTGGAACTGCTGCCATTAGTGGGGCTTTCAAGCAGCGGGCAGCAGACCACTAACGGAGAGAGATCAGATGTTTGGGATCCAGTCACCCTGAGGAATACTCTAACAGGCAAGAAGCAGCACCAGCACAAGGTGATTGTAACTTAACCTATATAGTCTCGTGGGTTTTTTTTCTTTTCTTTGCGTGCTGACTGATGTGTTATTAATCTGCCCAGGTGAGCAGCATGCTTGTTACAGTAAACCAGTAAGCTTTGTCACAGTTGCTGAGTAAACATCATCTCTGCTCCTTCCAGCCTCCTCATGGAGGTCTCAGAGCCCCATGTATGGCCTTTCTTTGCATGAGCTCTTGCAACCTGCTCTTGGGACTGCAAATCTCTGCGCTGCATTGTGACTGCATCTGCAGCGTGGACTCAGCTCAGTGCGTGTCACGTTCCTCTTGCATCTTCTCAGTCACAGGTGGAAAAAATGTTCTGTAGGACCTTTTGCAGTGGCGCTAAGTTTCTTTGCATACATGAGTGTATGTATGCAAGTTTCTTCTCTGGAGCAGGAGGCAGAAGTAAACCAAATGTTCAGCTTTGGAAAAGGTCCTGAGTTGAAATTCTGTTGAAGCAAAATGATCATTAACTCCTTCATACTTCAGTACACCTAAGAGGCTATAGTAGGGTAGGGCCTAGCCCTTGTAGATGTTGTATGGACCCAAATCAGGGAGGGAAAGACCCTTCTGTAAGGGCTGTACAGCTTAAGGAAAAATACTGTGCAATGAATAAGGGAAGATGAAGGCTGGGGGTGTCAGTGACGGGAATGATTGGTTCTAAAGACAGGTTTGGGGCATAATTTGAGTTTCAAGTTTCTTAAAAAGATAAATACGTGGGTGGTTTTAATGAGTTTGTCATATAAATGTAATGCAAACTATACCTGAGCTTGAGCTCCTGGCAAATTACTCGTTTAGCTTCCAGCCTTGCAAAGTCTGGAATCTCTACTCAGTAAACACAGACCTTTGCAAGCCATGGTGCTGCCAGCAAGCAGCTGGTGATGTTGGTGTTTGCTTGCATGTGGTAAACACTTTCAGAAATACTTCCTAATCTGCAGGTATGCCTCAAACTGTTTGCAGCAGAAGGTTATACAGCACTGACCGGGAGGTGGTAGTGTCTAATTAAAAGTGTCTCTTTGTGACCAATTGTAGGATATTGCTGTCTTAATAAAAGATTTCACTCATGTTGTCGTGGCAACAGAAGTTTTTGGAAGGAGAAGTGCTTAGTAGGTAAGTTGCTCTTGCCAGACAGAGGTTGCCATGCTGAATAAAGCACTGTGGCAGAAGCCTGCGCTCAGCTAGCAATGGTAAGGTGTCCAAAACACATTGGTCTGGGCAAGGAGGCAAGAAGGACTGGTGTGACCAAGAGGGTCATGTTTGCAGCTGCACAGGGATGTTGGAGCCATGCCTTTAACTGTGTGGCTGGCACACGCACCTCAGCTGCTACCCAGGCCCTTTGTTTTGGGAGCGGGTCACTAACTCAACAGTTGGAGAATTTACAGTATGTTTTATCCAGCCAGCAAGGGAGTTGGATCTCAGGGCTGCCTGCTGAGTGGGGACTGGCAGCCCCTAGCAGAGCTGCAGTGAGGTGGAAGGGCACCTCAGTCATGCTGACCTGTGGGAGAGGTGTGGGACAGTGCTGGGGCAATACCAGTTTCCTGATGCCCGGCCCCTGTCATGCCCAGGCTGGTCACAAAACAGCAGAAGTGGGCAGGGACCAGGCAGGGGGAGGCAGCACGAGAGGCACCTGGGATAGATCCTGGAGTTCCCAGCCTGGGAATTCAGATATGGAGCTTCTGGGATGTTTGCTGCCTTGCAGGAGCCTGCATGGCTGGGCTGGAGGTTTGTTAGAGGACCTGTGCTCCAGGGGAGCCTAGTGCTGCATTGGCTGCTTGTGTAGCTCCTGGGACTCATGTGATGTGATAGCTCAAAGTGCTTCAGCAAGTAATTAACAGACAAAATAAACACAGTGGCATGAATCTAAACATACTCTGTTGTGATGTGGGGCTGAGGGACCTGTGTAGCTTTAGCCCTGGCTCTCCAGTATGCTCATTATAATTGTAGTAGCTTCTCTGCTCCAGAAGCTGCAAGAAATCATTCTGCTGTACATAATTTTAATTGCCTGTTATACAATTGCTTCTTTTCCCATGCTTGTCAGATATATTATCTGTTCAAAACTGTAGCTCTGACATGTGGCATGACCTGTCTGCTAAATTACAATAGGAATAAAAAAATACTGCAGAAAATTAAAATAAAAAAAAAATCTAATTATGAAATACAATGGCATTCTCAATCTCTGTTGATATCTGCAGCCTGTTGTGTTAGGACCGGTACAAACAAATCAATAAAACCTGCTGCTTTTCTTATGTTGCCTTTGGCAGTTGTAAGTAGTTTGTGCAGTGTTCATGGGAGCACTCTTATTTCTCTGGTCTGATGATGTGCCGTCCTCAGCCAGAAGATTTCAGTATTCACTTTTTTTCCGGAATTGCTCTGGGGCTGGGATTTGAAACTCTTCACCTGGAGAACGGAGAAGGGGGAGCAACAAAAGGGTTAAAAAGAATTATCTGGGCTGCAGCTTTAACAATGTAGTATGGAGGGCACGAAACTGAATTTGGTAGGAGGTTCTTTGTCTGGAACACGCCTTGGCAGTAAACAGATATCTGATCTCAGAGGCAGTAAGGCATCAGGAGCACTGGCAGGACTGCAGTAAGCTGTGGTTTCTGGAGGCTGACTGGAGACTCTCTGGTCTGAATGCTGAGGAGGGTTTGTAGAGCTGGAGCATTGCCTGGCACAGGGTGTCCCTTAGGGTGCTGCCATGCCAGAGGGCGGAACTGGTGTGAATCTGTTTGTGTGATTAAAAATAAACAAACCCTCTTTTCCTAGTTTGACTTTCTTAGACAGCAGAAGGGGATAGCAGAGGATGCAGTGTGGGAGATGAGTGGTACCAAGGATGACAGCCGTTGTCAGAAGGCAGTCCGCATTGTCACCGAGCTGTGCCAGAAGAAAAGCCTGCCTAGCTTGGACCTGGACACTTGCAGGGAATTCCTCCTGCTGCCTTCCGACCAGAGCCTGATTATCTCCAAGCCAGGTACAGTACTCTGGTCCTGTCTGCTCGAGTAGTGCTTGTGACTGCCAACAGCCAGAGGAAGGCAGGAGGACTCTCGCACGGGGAGGGGAAATGTTTGTAAGCCCCGTGTTAGACTCGGGGGGATTGGTCTCGGCACACATCTCTGTGTGGTTATTTTCCTTTACACATGCTCCACTGTGAAGTTTTGGGTGCAAGTGCTACCTCACCTGTTGATGTGAAACGGTGTAGCCTGATGGGGATAGCTGCACAGAGGGGACAGACGGGGTGTTACGGGGACGTGCTGGTGAGGAGGTGGTTAATGAGAGAAAGTTTCTGTGAAAGTTCCTTATTTTTTTAAAAACATAGACTCCTGTCCTGTATAAAGCAAAAAAGCAGTAAAAAGCCTATTTAAGTAACTGAGATGACAGGAACCGATTGCTGTTATCCCACTTTGAGAAAAGGAAGGAGTTGCGTGGATTTTTGTTCACCAGTAAGGGATCTTAATGTACTTTCATGTATTTTACTTTCCCTAAGAACTGCCTGAAGTTGTTCCTTGTTAGCTTGCAGAGCTAGGGAGAAACACTGCAGTGTCAGGGATGAATCAAGAGCAAGCATACTGCTCTAAGAGCAAAAAGACATTTCTTTATTGGCAAGTGGTTAATTTTCTGTACACTTCTGCTCACAGCTTCTTGTTCCAGAGAGGTTGTCTTCTGCTGTAACTTCAGAAGACATTGGCGGGGGAGCTTACATCCCAGGCTCACACACTGAGGAGCAAAACCAAAATCCCATGCTTTTTAGCATTATTGATAACATGCTCTAAGTTGTTTATTAGAACATTTGTGTAGGGTGCTTCCCTTTTTTTTTTTTTTTTTTTTTAATGAATTCAATAGATAATGATCTACCAACCCAGCCTGATTTTACAGCATAAGTTTTCAGAAACTTTTCTCCTCTCCTTCTGAGGACACCTGTGCAGAGCCCAGGTGCAGCACAGTAGCCCATCAATCCCTGGCCAAGGCTTTCTGTGTCATCTTGCTTCAGTTCCTCCTGCCTCTCTCTGCCAGCATCTCGCGCTGGGATGCAGCTGGCACCTGAGACACGCTGGCAATTCTCTGGTTTCTCTGGGCTTCTGCTGTCTGTTTGCTTGCAGTGGTGCTTCCACCACTGTTTTGCCAGTATGTCCAGCCTAACACCTTCATTTCACATCCCACTCTGCTTGTAACTTAATTGTCATCTTAAAACGCCTTTGCTTTATATCTGCTTGTTCTGAAGGCCTCTTACCACTGCTGGTACTGTCCTTTTATGCATTGCATCCAGTGCAGCTGTTTTCTCTATTGCAAATAACTTACTGCATTGCTTCATAATTTTTTACCTTGGTACCAAAATTAATGTTTTCCTGACTCTGTGCAGCAGAAATACCTGTACTGCTCTTGTTCTGTCCACCCTGATGTGACAGATAGTTGCCTGGCATTTGTTTGTGCAGCCTGTTCAGGACCTCATTTTCAGGTTGTGATCACATCATCATATGCCTTTAACATCTCAAATGTTTGTCTGCTCTGATCGCTGTTTTAAGTGTCAGCCTCTATCCCAGTGCCCTGGGCAAGTCATGCTGGGCTGACTGACTGCACTGGGTGCATTAACAGCTATTACTGTTGTCTCTGCTCTGCATGACTGGGCCCATTTTTATGTCTAGACAGCACTGAGGACACTGTTTGGGCCCAACGGGCACTAATATTTCTCAAATGCCTGGATGTAAAAGTGCTCCAGCAAGGGAAACAAATCTGTTTGCATTAAGTGTTAACTAATGTAACAGTTATGGTGGTAAGATACCTTTCCTATTAGCGTCTGGATGCTTATCTAATTATCTGCATTTGTGCTTTGTCCATTTTACACTGAAGACTTATGTTAAGCAAATTTGCTATTGGCTACCTGGAGTCCTATGCTCAGATCTGTCGAGTTCTTCCTCATAAAGATATGCAAATAAAAAGTGAGGTTGTGCAAAGATGAGCAGTGATATGGCTTTGAGACAGGGTGCCATATCGGTACCGACAGGAGAGTCAGAGAAGCCATGCAACATGAGTACTTGGTCCTGCTGGTGTACCCATGCTGGACAGCACAGCCTCAACAACCTGGATGCAAAGCTTGCTGGAGTAAAATTGGCCGTATTTGTCATCATCATGTGAAGTCAATGGCTTCTCTGTCAGTTTTTTACCTCCTGGAAATCTATTAGCTAATAGCTAAATCAGCTTGGCTTGTCAAGTATCTCGATGAAGTGCGCATTGTTTGTGAGTAGGCAGACGAAAGCACTCTAATGCTGCCAAAGCTGGGAGCCGGAGCTGCTTCTGCACAGCTCTGCTTGCCATTAGGCCCTGAGGTGGTTTGGTTTTTTCTGATGTTTCATGTATTGATGGAGAGCAGTATCTTCTGGGGATGCTGTGGAGTTGCAAAGAAATTATCCAGGTATCACTAGCCTTCTTGAACTGCATCTGACAGTGGAAAAAAACTCTGAATAGAAAAATATTACTGAGTAGTTTATGTAAGACCATGTCAGAATATGGTTTTATGCAGTGATTATTTTTTTTTTAAACCATTTTGGACTGAATGTGGAAAGTGCTACTGTGTATAAAGTAGATGCTCCTCTACTTTCTGTACTTCGGGTTATGTAATAGCTGATTCTCCTACTTAAAGTCAATAAGAGAAATATAGCTGCAGTGTTTCTCCAGTATGCCATACATTACTGTACAGCCAACAAAGGAGCACTGCAGGCTGCTGCTGCTGGCTAGTAATCCAGCCACTAAGTATGTCAGAAAAATAAGGTATTTGGATGAGGAAGGTTTTGGTATGGATGCGTCAGTGGATATGTGAGGGTGAGTGTTTGCCTGCAGTTTGGCCTGTGGCGGTGCCAGGAATAGAACTGATCTCTTGGCTGTGGGCCCTGAGATCGAGCAAGATGCAGCATCCTTTTGTTGTGCCTATCTAAAATCCTCCCCCGTAGCTCCCTCCATCTGATAGCTCTCTTCCCTGCCAGTCCTCAGCTGTTGTGCAGTGATGCTGTGAGTGTGACTGGTACACAGGCATAAGCTGTAGACAGTGGAAATGCCTGTGATACAGGGACAACATTTACCACTGCAGTGATGTGCCTTAAATAAATGGATACATCACTTCTCTGTCCTGGAGGTGCAGCGAGTGCTCTAGAACATAGCGCTCTCAGAGAATTTGTGGACAAGCCCTACTGACGTGCAAAGTACTTGGCTGACGATGCAGGGGAGCCCACGCTGCCAGACTCCCATGGGAGCGCTGCACTGGGCACTGCGAGCCACCCCATGTCACCTGGTCCCTCTGCCCATGGGAGTGGAGCTGCTTGTTGGAGAGCAACAGGCTCCAGGGTCTTTGGGAAACAGGGTGCCAAACCCTGCTCTCCAGGGCTCGCTATTACCTCCTGTGGTGGAGCAGGCTCTCCTCTGACTGCTCCTGCCCAGAGCTGCTCTCAGGGGTACGAAGCCCATGGTCCTACCTGTGGGCAGCTCGGCTCCAGCTTGCCAGCATCCCTGGGTACTGGGCATTGTGTCATGCCCTACACAGCTCTCACCACCATGAAGTGTGCTGTGTGCTTGTCTGCACGGTCAGGTTGTTGCTCAATTTGGACTGAATTGCATGACCGACTCACTCCCAACATTCACCTGAACCAGGTCCCGCTCCCCGTGGGTGCGCAGTGCTGGGTCTGGCTGCGGGCAGAGGCTGCCAGCTGGTCCTGGGAGGTTGTGCCGAGCAGGGGATGGCACAGAAGATGGGAGCTTGACTCCACAGGGAGATTTAAAAACAAAATGATCATTCTGAAATGAACGTGCAGAGCCGGTGGAGTGTGACTGGATCCTGCGGCTTGTAATGCTTGCTGACTTGAAAGGATGGTGCATGGATAGGGGAGGGAATTTACACCAGGATCAGAGCACATCCAAGAGCAAACTCCTGGGTTTGATTTCTAGATCCAGCACTACTGTGTTGCAACTTTGCGTATATGTATCCATTTGTAAAAAGCTTCACTGCCCTGTAGAATAAGTACCAGATACAATGGATGATGTGCAGAGGTGTTGCAGTTTTTACCCAGAAAGTCACTGTAGGATTGCATGCACAACAGTCCCTGTTGATCTCGGCACAGCGCGTGTACCCTCCTCAAACCCTTCTGTATGCACTGATTCACCCCAGCAAAATGCTCTAGTGCTTTCCTAGTGCAGAATATGAACGCTGAAGTGAGAGGAAGAAAAAGGACAGCTGGGGAAAAATGCAAAACCAGAAGATGCTTTACGATAATTTCTGTTTCCTAGCACACTTTGTCAGCTGTCCTTCTGTGCTCTAATCCTGCAATAATTCGCAGCACATTTAGTGTTTTGCCCTTTGTGTGAACTGTTCTTTTTAAACTTCATGATGCAGGCAGTACATCTTGTACAGCGCTGAACACCCTCCTGGCACTTCGCAAATACTATTAAAATGTGAAACCCGCAAGTACATAAGTGTTCTTGCTGCAGGCAGAAAAAGGCGTGAATTTTTGTGCAACAGGTGTTTTTTTCATTGCAGGAATGTTGATGCAGAAAGATCACTTTTATATGGAGAAATTGCTTCTGGAGTATTTTTCTTGGGAAAAATTTATCCCTTGATAGGATAGTTTGGCTAATGGGAAAATTGATGACATGCCCATTCACTGATATGGGATACCTACAGCCAATACCTATGAAATATGGGCAAGTCTTGAATTTACTTACCAGCTGTACTAACACACTTTTCTGAATCACCGTTCAAGTGTATTTTAAGTAAATATAACAGTAAACATGTTTAAAGCCACCCAGGCAAAGCTAATATTTATCACTGAAGCTTGTGTTTCCAGAGGCCAGGCATGTGAGGAGTAGCACCATGGGGCAAAGCTCTTTCTTATCATGGTGTAATGCACTTGCAAAATGGATCTTGCCTTCCTCTGTGAGCGTGTGGTCCACCAGCAGGAAAAGAGCCAGCTAGAGCTATGTGCAGCAAAT